CAATGTAAATCAAACTATATAAGAAAGTAGGATATCAGAAGAAATAACATTACAATAGTTACCCTACATTACATTCTCACTCTTGATTCATTGAATAAAGAGTAATGTAGTTTCTTACAATGGTTACTCTACATTACATTATGTAGTTTCTTACAATGGTTACTCTACATTACATTCTCCCTCTTGATTCATTTGGTAAAGAGTAATGTAGTTTCTTATAATGGTTACTCTACATTACATTCTCCCTCTTGATTCATTTGGTAAAGTAGTAATGTAGTTTCTTATAATGGTTACTCTACATTACATTCTCCCTCTTGATTCATTTGGTAAAGAGTAATGTAGTTTCTTGCAATGGTTACTCTACATTAGATTTTCCCCTCTTGATTCATTTGGTAAAGAGTAATGTAGTTTCTTATAATGGTTACTCTACATTACATTTTCCCTCTTGATTTGTTCTGGTAAAGAATAGTTACTCTACATTACACTCTCCCTCTTGACTCGTTCTGTTAAAGAGTAATGCAGTTTTTTACAATGGTTTCTCCTCATTACATTTTCTCTCTTGATTAGTTCTGAATAAAGCGTAATGCACTTTCTAATATACATTTTATATTGTATGAAACATTAAATTTTAAAATATTATGTTGAACTTTGTCTAGTTATTAAACTAGTTAGGAAGCTATATTACATTACTGTGGTGAAATTTACATTCGTAAATAGTGTAAAATGTCTAGGCAAAATGATCTAACAATCAAACAGTCATTTTTCAAAGCCTAGTGCTTTAAATTAAATAAAATGGATTTAAGATAATTAAATCATAACAGAAAATATTCAGACTTTCATTAGGCAAACGAAGAAAAATACCAGAACTTTACTAATAAATATTTAAAATGAAGAAGGCTACAATACAAGATTATACATGCAATCCTTAATAATGATTCAGTCAACTAAAAATATAAACCTAAAGCGTTATTATTAAACGTCTAAGTTGATTGAAAGCTTGTATGCTATATGTGGGTGTATTAGTTCTAAAATTAAATGGGTGTGGTAATTTACGGTCAGATAATAATTTTTCCATTGAATACTTTTTAAGAGTATATGGGCCATTACAGGTTTTATGAAGATTCAACATAACGGTGTATTTAAGTTGTATAAGTTAATATATGGGGTAAGCAAAATCGGAAATTTCGGGGACCTGAATCTAGACAACTATCAGATTATCAGGAGACAATAATAGTAAAACTAAAGCGCTATTGACCGAAATGTGATTTTAAAATTGTAACAAAAGTATTTCCAAAATTGCATAATGCTAGCATTATGAATTGCTTATTTCAGAAGCTTATGACTGAAAAGTGTAAGTGCTATTTTTAATTAAATATCTGCTAGAGGGTGTCACTTTGGTGTATTGGATTGTCATCAGAATACAGTGGTAATTTTATACCACTGTAACACACAAAATACTTAAATAATTTATATTTATTTTTATTGAAAACTATTTAAATTAGTGAACCATTTTACCTTTTTTTTTTATAAAACTAATTTCATAATATCATAATGAAAAGTATTAAGTGAATTATAGTTCAGTATTAGGTTAACCGTGTATTTTGTGAATTTTTTAAGGCTCAAAACGTTTATTCATGAATATAACTTGAAAATATAACCTACTGATTTATAATTGAAAATATTACACCACTGTTGATCTTAAGATTGGCCAATTTAGCAAACGTAATCCATGGTAATAATCGTGCATGTATTTTTATGTTCAATAATGTACAACATTAATTAAATCAAAGAAACTTTTAAAAGAATCTCTTTTTTTATGGTAAAAACCTCTAAATAGCAATTTTTTTTCGTGCCAAAAAATTGAACAACATATAGAAGACACCAAACGCCTGTGGTGATAATGTCAATTGGACTTTTAAAATGTATTTCGGGATATGTGAAGACGTAACGTACTCTGTCGTTAATTACGGGTCTCTTAAAAGTGAATACACTTTATTCAGTATCATTATCAGTATTATTAAAATGGCATTTGTAATTATTACAGATTAGAGTAACCTGGTAACCTAGTAACTTGAAATACTAAAGATACTATTGTTAAAAATATCAACAGTGCAGATTTGGTTTTAGAAGCTAGGGTCTTGGATATATAATCGAATACTCGCTAGGGGATCTTTAATCTGTTCAGTTTGCAGCTTAAATTCTGTTTATCGAGAAACTGTGGGTTTAATTTTGTCCAAACACAACAGAATAATTGAATGCACGTGTCTTTGATTAGACAGTTATCCAGAATTCTGATGTTACGATATAAATTAGATTAATGCGAGTGTATTCTGTGCGACATATTGTATTGATTGTGCAGTCTTTAAACAACGACAGGAAACTATACACAGTCGAGATGTAATATCGAAACTGATGAGTTTCCACTTCTAAAACTCAGACTAAGTATGAGTATTTGTTCTAGATTTCTGCTGTTTTATTTATTAAACGCTTAACACAGTTACGTGAAATAGATGCTCAGACAAGTTAATCACTTTTTCTGATTATATTGCGTATTCAATCCTTAAAGCTAGTGTTACAGTGTTATTAATGGTTTATTGTTTACATGACACTTTAGATGACTCTTGTTGATATATTAGTTTTTTTTCACCTTTTAGTGTTTAATTTACAAAGAATTTTCTTCATATAAATGGTTTAGAGAATCCACTGGTGATCCATTGAAAGCGATTTTGACAAGAACCTCAAGCCATGCTGCAGGTTCATCTACCTTTATCAAACTCTTCTTGAAACCTAACGATTTGGCTGTTCTCTTGCTAACTTACTTCCAAAGACAATCATGATAAACAACATTAATTAGAACTACTCTTTCTGGATTCTAAAAACCATCTTACTGGTTCTTTTGACTATAGTATAGTGTCTTTTCCCAACATTTACTTAACTTTGGAGATGGTTCTTTCTTTTTCTATGGATCATACATCCATACCATGTCACTACTATGAAATCCAATCTTATTTGATTTTACATCATAGTAACTTTATTTTATCGTTAACTGATTTAAGTATTTCTAATAGAAGTTCATGCATAGTGTTTCTTAGTTTCACTACATAAAGTTGAAAGGGTTCTGCTGACAGGTGCTAACCCCTTATATGGAGACCAACTACCTTGCGGGAGGTAGAAGAGTTCCTTTAGGCAAATATAAGATACATGATTCAGAAGTTGAAGTATTTGTCTTAACATAGCGTTGCTACGATACGAAACGTGTGATTCAGATATAGTGAACGTACGTTCTGAGTGGAATTTTAGGTTCTAGTAGATGTATCAGTATCAAGTACATTGATTTTAAGTTATCAGTTCAGAGAGTATTGATGTAAAAATTTAAGAAACATATAGGTTTTGTCTTCTAACTTGAGATATAAACTAGAATTTTCTAACTCATAAAATATTTAAAAAAATTAACAATAAACGGAATTCGCTGAAAAGCGATAAACCCTCGAACGTTGTCTAGGAAATGAGAAAGTTATCATTAGCTTTCCGTTGATTAAATCGAGATTTTGATTCATCTTATAACAGAAATAGATAATGTGGAATTATTTTATTTTTCCACATTTAAAGCTTACATAACTGAAGTTCAGTGTAAAATGATGTGGCCAAAGCAAGTTGAACGTGGTTATGTTCAAAACTTCTAGTTTTCCAAAGTTCCACACTCGATATTGTTAGGAGCTAATTTCGATCGGTTCTGAAAGTTTCAAATTACAGTATGTCATTACTGAATTCTATATAAATCCGCGAACTGCTCAGACTAATAGCGACTAAATTCAATAATTTTCCAGGAATTTAGAACCTTAATGTGTTTATGATATATTAAATTCAAACAATGGAAATCAGTTTACTCTGTTACCATTACCAGGAATTTAGAACCTTAATGTGTTTATGATATATTAAATTCAAACAATGGAAATCAGTTTACTCTGTTACCATTACCAGGAATTTAGAACCTTAATGTGTTTATGATATATTAAATTCAAACAATGGAAATCAGTTTACTCTGTTACCATTATACTTTCCATTTTCGAAAAACGTTTTGCAAAATGTGTTAAGTAGAGTGACAGATGTTGCAGTCAGCGCCTGCTTAATATAACTCTATTTGCAAAGTAGACATTACGTGTACAAGAGATATTTAACAACCGAAAGGTGGCCATCTGTACTGAAATTAGCTGACATGTCGCTCTGATCGTATGAAACTAGGCTTATTTACTAGAGCTCCAACGGAATTATTCCTAAATTTTATATTTTGTTTTCTCAAAATGTCTTTCCTAGTGAAGAATCAAATTTGTTACAGAAATTTCAACTCAAATTCTCAACACTAGCGAAAACTAGAGATTTTGTGGTATATTCGTGTACTCGAACAACGTAAAGCTAACAAAAGACAGTATACAAACTAATTCATTTTGGTAATTTCTCATGTTTCTAAAAAGAGATCTAAGACACTGGGGGAATCACAACCAGCATTTCTAATGCGGTCTTTCAGCATTTTTTCAGGTTTGATTTATAATGTTTGCATGGAGAAACGAGAACGTCTGGGATCCGCTTATACGAAAAATGTGGCGCCCAACATTGCTCTTACAACATATTTACCATATTAAACACGAACTAACCAAAATAAGATAAAAATATCAATTACTTTGTTATAAAAACTAATAGCTACTGTTATTACTTTTGGTTATTTTTCCTGATTATCTAGTTTCATAAAAATAATTTACGTCCACATGGCGTCTCTTACGGCTTTTGATAAAAATAATCTCGAAGATAGATATAAAATTAATAAATAAACTATAGATTTCAAACTAGATGCAGCCATAACACAAAAACTAAAATTCTTGGAGAAATACATTGATTAGGTTAAAGGATTTATTTGATATGTTTTGTCATATAGCACTGAAACTGACTTAAAGTGATTTGTAACTGATTTTCAACAGTAATTTATCATAAATATTATATTCTAGTTCATGCAGCAACAAGCTGCCATTATGGCTGCGGCGGCACAAGGAGGATTCATCAACCCGATGGCTGCAACACAACTTCCACAGGTTCCAAACGGTCTCGCCAGTCCAGCTATTACTCCATCAGGTAGTGCATTAGAAATTTATAATTCAAACATAAAGTTATTTTTAAAAGAAAACAAAGAACATGCTTTTTGGTGTTTTTAAGATAGATTTCGTAATGCAATGCAATTTCCAGAGCTTATGATTAAACTAATGTATATCGTGTAGACTACTGAAAGTTATAGTGATATCTTTGAATTATTTATTGTCAACAGTATGGTGTATATCGTGTAGACTACTGAAAGTTATAGTGATATCTTCGGTTTATTTATTGTCAACAGTATGGTGTATGTCGTGTAAAAGATATCACTATAACTTTCAGTAGTCGGTTTATTTACCGTCAAGAGTAAAGTGTATGTCCGTAAACTAGTGAAAGTTTTAGTGATATCTTCAGTTAATTTACCGTCAAGAGTAAGATGAATATCGTGTAGACTACTGAAAGTTAGAGCGATATCTTTGAATTATTTGCTGTCAAGAGTAAGGTATATATCGTGTAGAATACTCAAAGCTAGAGTGATATCTTCGATTTATATATTGTCAAGAGTGAAGTGAATATCGTGTAGACTACTCGGAGTTACAGTGATATCTTTATACTTAAGAAGCGATTTAATAGCGACTAACACTCTTCATATAAGAATATTCGAAGTCAAAACTGGGTTTGTATTATTTAAAATGCTTTTTGTGTAATATCGATGTGTGGTTCATATGAAGGAGACTATTTATTAAATAAAAACATTTCTTTTCTAGCAAAAGTATGTTCAATATTATGCCTTTCAAGTGGTAATGAAGGCTTTTTTATTCTAAAGTATAATTTTTGTAGTATGTAGTCAATAGTGATTTTTATATATAGTGTAGGCTATTCTTCAAGTGAGAGCGATGTTTTTACAGTCAAATTTCGGTTTCAAAGACCACTCTTTGACTGAAAGTTATACATTTGCAGTTAAATGCAGTTTTTCAATCAAATATGCGTTTGATATGGCATGGATCTCTTGAAATTAGAATGATAACTTTGCTCTTGAATATCAGTTTTATTTGGTGTAGACTGTTCTTCAAGTGTGGGTGTTGTCTCTTCAGTCGAGAATGAGTTATACCGTGTAGCTCACTCACAAAAGAGCTATATGTGCTTAAGACTAATGCGTTATCAAATGTAACTGAATTTCAAATATACATTGTTGGTCACATTTAACGTACTAGTTCTGAAGATATATGCATTTCATATAGAAAGAGCCATGGGTTTAAGTAGTAATATTTACATGTTAAAACATATTATGTACTCTGCTCTACACTACAATGAAATATAGGAACCTAAGTTAAAATTTCCTAAAAGGAACAAAATTTTCTATCACACAAGAAATTTGTATCTTATTTAAATCGCTAGTTTACTTTGCATCTTATTTTTGATTATTGCAAAATATTTGTAAAAAATATTTACAATAATTGGTTTTAAAATGCTGAGCGATAAACAACGAGAAATTATCTTCCAAACAATCGTTAAATATTTCGAATACCTAACTGAGGCTAAAGTTGAAGTAATATTTATTTGTGCGTAAACACTCTTTGTTTGATTGTGTCTATAAACAATGCCTTATAGTTAAGTAAAGTTCAATAAGAGATTGAATGTGTTGTTTTTCTAATCTATATTTAAATATGTTGCAAACTTAAAATAAGACCCAAAACTCGAGCGCTTTCGAATAGTT